GTTATGCTGATTATTTGCAATATCATCATAGTGGAATACTATGATATTCTCATCGGGAATGCCGTTTGCGTGCATTATTTGGTAAGCATGGTAAATGTCCGACTTTATAAACAACAATATAACATTATAGTATGAATATTAACTTGTTACAAATACTATTTTAATAGGAATTAATTTTAAATTGTTTTTGAATGTTTTGCATTTTGAAACTTTAAAACTGTAAAAACTTTCTACATATTTTATTAATTAATCAAAAATATTTGTTTTTAATTATATTGGCATATGGGGGAGAGACTCAAATACCTGATGTCTATAGTTTTCCCAACCCTTAGACCCGGCCACCAATACGACCCACTTTTTGCCGGAAAACTCATTGTCGTTAACCGGCAGTGAGTTTACGTACAAACAAAACACCGACAATAATAGCAACACTTTCATCGTTCAAACAATTTAAACAAATATTTTAAATAATAAATTAGTCTGCATCGCTTATATAGCACAACGAGAGATAATGCATCTAGATCAGATGTGTCCAGACATTATTTATTTATGTTTTTTACAGGTAAACAATTTTAGAGTCAATTCTAATTAATGTTATATTATTTGACAATTTTTATAATCCCTTTCATTATAACCAATTAGAGATTTGTGATTAGTTTTTAATAAAATGATTACAAGTACTGTAATAATGCTCACTCTTACCCACCTGAACACATCTGATCTAGATTAATCTACAAACACACATTTTGAAGTGGATTAAAATTATTTTTATTTTGTATATCGCTTTTCAAACGAAAAAAGTTTCAAAATTAAATGTAATATTTGTAATCAGTTTTAGCTATAATTTTTGATTAATCATTATATAAGCCACAAGTTATTGTCTATTACCTATAGATTATAGTTCACTATGTATAAATTAATAGATAATAAAGTATTTTCAAGTTCAATTTAATCTATAATATAGTAACTATATTTTAAATGTTTTGATCATAAATTGTAAACTTAAAGGTATATAAAACTTTTAGTTGTAACCATAGCTGATTTAATTACTTAAAATATTATTTATTTTAAAAATTACTTTCAATTGTATAATACAATTTGTATTTAACAAAAAAACTTCAATAATTATATGTGATCAAGGACAGTTGTTAGATAAAATTATCTTTATAATTTAATTTAATTGTGTATTCAATATCATTTGAGATCAAAATAATATAAATTTTAAGTTTAATTAGTGCTGGGAATGTAGCAATATGACCAAGAATGTATTGAAAAATAGCAGCTGGGTTATATTGAGCCAATGAATAAATAGTCTATCACAAAATATTTTGTTTAGTAGATATGAAAACCAAAATGTTTTAATTAAATCATTTTAATATTTTATTTTATTTATTAATTTATTATTTACAAAATGCCTATAATCTGTATTTTAAATTTTATTAATTTCTTTAATAAATCTAACTTATAAAACATAAATTATTAATTAACTATTTTGATATCTTAAAAACATTTTATAATATTTATTGTATTTTAAATCCTACTTGTTAATCTAATCATTTTGTACCACAATACTTTTCTTAACATAATATTTGTGGCATATGACAAAATTAGTTACAAAATCTTATATGATATAATGTATCATACAATAGATAAATTACATACTATATAAAAAACACAATTTTAATAATATTATTTTGATTATTGTCTAAATTTCTTAAATACATGTTTATAATGAAAGTGTTTTGTATACTGTCTGTCCTATTAATCGCCGTAAACTCATTGCCAGTAAATGAGTTTAAGGGTAAGAATTGGGTGGTATTAGCAGCCGGGTCTAATGGTTGGGATAATTATAGGCACCAGGTATTTATACTTTTATAATTAAACTTTGTTAAATATTAGAGAAATTAAAATTAATTTATTAGCTGATAATGCGGTTTGCACGTATATTTACGTACAATATTATCTATAAAATGTAATATTAAAATAATTAAATGTTAAATACAAATGAGGTCTCAATATTGTCATACCCAACAATAATATCATTTTATTTAGCGATTCACAAATTGATGTTAATATAAAAATATTACAGTTTATTGATTTGTAAAGTAATCTTAGTACTGTATGTGTGTTTTGAGTGATTATGAATTATTATTGTTAAAATATTAAGTGTATTATTAAATTGATTTAATAATAATTGTATAATATTACTATACTGTGAATTACTAGTCGGATGTATACCACGCCTACCAAATAGTCGGCTCCCACGGCATACCCGACAACCAGATCATTGTATTTCATTTCGACGACATCGCCGACCATAAGCTAAACCCGACGCTCGGGGTTGTCATCAATAGGCCTAACGGGACGGACGTTTACCACGGGGTGCCCAAGGATTATGTCGGCGCTGATGTCAATCCTAAAGTAATAATCATTTTTTAAAAATTATTTTACATTTTATTTTATTTTTGTGTCAATTCTTGTTTTGTATAGACTTTTCTGAAAGTACTTTCTGGTGACCAGGAGTTAGCAAATGCTGGCAGAAAAGTGCTCAAAAGTGGACCTGATGATCATGTGTTTATATTTTTCGATGACCATGGTGCTCCCGACATAATAGCTTTTCAAGATAACTATTTGTACGGCGAAGATCTAATGGATACGTTAAAAACTATGCATACAAACAAAAAATTTGCCAAGTTAGTTTTCTATCTGGAAACCTGCGAATCAGGTAACTTTATTTACTGTATATTATAAGCTGTAATTACTGTTAAATATGGTCTGACATTATGCTCATAAAAATAATTATAAACTAACTTGGTGTATACTATTTTGCTATTACTATCGACAACATAGTTAGAAATTTGCATAGATCAATTTGAGTTGACAACTTTTATTAAGTAAAAGTATGCTAACTATAAATAAATTTAAAATTATAAATAGAAAATATGCAATATCAAATTATAAATTATCCCCTCTCTCATAAAACTTTTGTAAAATGTAAACTGTTAACAAACTAACAAGATCATTTTAATTGTGTTCCATAAACCGTAAATAAGATTATATTTATTGTAAATTTATTACCATTACTTGTATAATAATGTAAATTAAATTTAATTGACATAGAATCGGATTTGTAATTAGTATTGGATAAAAAATTTATTAATGACTAGTAGTTATATTAGCTGTAAAATAAATTGGTTACAATAATTTAAATATGATACAATTATAAACACTAACTATAATTGGGTGAAACGTATTGGAGCAATATAATTATTTTGATGTATATTTATATTCTACTTTATTTGTTTATTTAAAATTTATTTTTTATGTAACTTTTATTTAATTCTAGCTGTAAACTAAATTAATTATAATTATAAATATATGCATTAATCTTAATTTTTTACAAGTCTTAATTAAGTCAATATTAATTTATCTTAAGTTTTATCAAGAATAATAATTAAAATAAATTATTTATAATATAAACTAACTAGTTAACATGATATTTCTTATTGACCAGGCTCAATGTTTGACAAGTTGTTACCAAAGGACATCAACATATACGCGACTACAGCCTCTCTGCCCACCGAGAATAGCTATCAATGGGATTTGGACAGCACC